GGGCGGAGTTTGCGCGGTGGGCGGAGCTTGTATGTTGTGTATATGGTGTGTATGTGTGTATGTATAAATTACAAGTCTCGACATCAAATGGATGTGATTTTCGAAAAAAGGCCACTAACCACGCTCGACGTTGCCTAACTTGCCAGATCGGACGCGCAGGGTACCTTAAACTTGGGTAACTGAATCAGTGACCCAGTACTGCAAAATTCTGCTGAAGTACTAACCACGCTCGGCGTGGTCCCAGCTGCCAGATCGGACAACTGGCCACGCTCGGCGTGGCCTCAGCTGCCAGATCGGACGTGGTTCGGGTTCTTGCGCACGGCCTGAGGCAGCTTCTGCTGATTCAATTACCCAAGTTTGAGGTAACTGAATCAGCATAATGCCGACACAAAAGGCCGCCCCACTGAACCCACCACCAACCCCCTCCCCACCCCTTCCCGTCTTGTACGCCTGCGGCGTACAAGACGCGGGCGCTGCGCGCCTAGAAAACTATCTCCAGAATGCCGGGCATATCGCATCATTTTTACAATTGGACCCCCCAGTTTTTTGATATCATTCGATAGCTCTTTGATTGCTGTATCGAAGTGGGGTATCGGAATCGGTTTGTGGGTGGGCGGAGCTTGCATTTTGGGGCGGAGAAAGTGTGTAAGTCTTAAAAACAGGATAAAGTGTCTCCCTTACCCCCGGATTTCTTGATATCATCTGATAGATCTTTTCGAGCTCTATCAAATGGCAATGTCGAAATGCGTGGGCGAGTGGGCGGAGCTTGCGTAATGGGCGGAGAATGCAAAAAAAGAATATTTATTGAACTGTTGACACGAACGCGAGCTCCAAGTGGGCCATTTTTGGTAAGCAGAACTGGCGCTGTGGGATGAACCAAACGTTGGGTTAAGGTGCCTAACTTCTCGCTCATGAGACCCCATAAAAGGCGTTGGTTGATATAGACAGCAGGACGGTGGCCATGGAAGTCGGTACCCGCTAAGGAGTGTGTAACAACTCACCTGCCGAATCAACTAGCCCTGAAAATGGATGGCGCTTGAGCGAGAGACCTATACCCAGCCGTTGCTGGCTTGTGCGTTGTCTATCGCCTGGCCGCAACGAGTAGGAGGGACGTGGCGGTTGCGTCGAAGGCTTTGGGCGTGAGCCCAGCTGGAGCTTCCGTCAGTGCAGATCTCGGTGGTAGTAGCAAATATTTAAGTTCGATCCTTGAAGACTGAAGTGGAGAAGGGTTCCACGTGAACAGTAGTTGAATGTGGGTCAGTCGATCCTAAGATACTGGCTTATGCCTTGTATCATTGAGAGGGAAAAGTTTCTTTTCTCTCGGATATCAAAAGGGAATAGGGTTAATATTCCCTAACGCAGACACAGAGATTGTGACTCATTGAGTCACTTGCGCGGTAACGCATTCGAACTTGGTTACGTCGCTCAGAGACCGAGCTAGAGTTCTCTTCTCTAGTTAAGGAACGGACTCCCTGGAATCGGTTCAGCCGTAGATAGGGACGTTGTTTCCGTAAAGCATCGCGGTTTCTGTGATGTCTCGTGTTCTCTGGACGGCCCTTGAAAAACCAAGGAAGGCTATTAATCTGTGCTGCATCGTACCGATATCCGCATCAGGTCTCCAAGGTGAACAGCCTCTAGTCGATAGAATAATGTAGGTAAGGGAAGTCGGCAAATTCGATCCGTAACTTCGGGAAAAGGATTGGCTCCAGTGAACTGGGTCGGTTGGCCTGTTAACTGATGCTTGTGCGGTTTCGTCCGTGGCTGGCTGATGCTTACGCTGATGCTGGACTAGTGACAAGACTGCCTTGTGGACGTTTTCAGGTGTGTGCTTTGTGTTTGGGCTTAGTATCCTGACCGACCATCAAAACAGCGTCCATATAGAAAAAAATAAAAGTGGGCGGGATTTGCGCTGCAGTAGGCGGGGCTAGAATTTTGATATAAAAAACAATTAGTTGAAAGTTGGTGACGAATGGCGACATACCGATATGTCGAAAAAACACAAAAATCCGTGAAAATACAAAAGGGGGCGGAGTTTGCGCGGTGGGCGGAGTTTGTTCGTCTATATATTGGTATGTGTGATGTGGTGTACGAGTTAGAAGTCTCGACAGCAAATGGATGTCGAGATATGACGACTTTTCTATAACTCAAAAAGGGGCGGAGCTTGCGCGGTGGGCGGAGCATATATGTATGTGTGTATGTAGTGTGTACATGTGTACGAGTTACAAGTTTGGGTAATGGCTAGATGTCGAGATATAACCACTTTTTTATAACTCAAAAGTGGGCGGAGCGTGCGTGGTGGGCGGAGCATATACGACAGTCCGTGTGTAGTGTGTACATGTGTACGAGTTACAAGTTTGGAAACCGCCTGGATGTCGAGATATAACCACTTTTTTATAACTCAAAAAGGGGCGGAGCGTGCGTGGTGGGCGGAGCATATACGACAGTACGTGTGTAGTGTGTATATGTGTACGAGTTACAAGTTTGGAAAGCGCCTGGATGTCGAGATATAACCACTTTTTTATAACTCAAAAGTGGGCGGAGCGTGCGTGGTGGGCGGAGCATATACGACAGTACGTGTGTAGTGTGTACATGTGTACGAGTTACAAGTCTGGAAACCGCCTGGATGTCGAGATATAACCACTTTTTTATAACTCAAAAGTGGGCGGAGCGTGCGCGTGGGCGGAGCATATACGATAGTACGTGTGTAGTGTGTATGTGTGTACGAGTTACAAGTCGGGAAAGCGCCTGGATGTCGAGATATGACGACTTTTTTGAAACACAAAAGTGGGCGGGGTTTGCGCAGTGGGCGGAGCTTGTATGTTGTGTATATGGTGTGTATGTGTGTATGTATGAATTACAAGCCTCGACATCAAATGGATGTGATTTTCGAAAAAAGGCCACTAACCACGCTCGACGTTGCCTAACTTGCCAGATCGGACGCGCAGGGTACCTTAAACTTGGGTAACTGAATCAGTGACCCAGTACTGCAAAATTCTGCTGAAGTACTAACCACGCTCGGCGTGGTCCCAGCTGCCAGATCGGACAACTGGCCACGCTCGGCGTGGCCTCAGCTGCCAGATCGGACGTGGTTCGGGTTCTTGCGCACGGCCTGAGGCAGCTTCTGCTGATTCAATTACCCAAGTTTGAGGTAACTGAAGCAGCATAATGCCG